ACCCCAAGGTTGAGGGGCTTTCACCCAGCCCCTAGAGCCTGGCACTTTGAACTTGGACTTAAAGCCTCCAAATTGTAAGAATAAACTCCTGTTTTTTAAGACCGTCCCATTTGTGGATATTCCTGTCAGAGTGGCACTAGGTAACTAGAACAGGAATCACTTAAAAAACTGAGGAAATTTTCAACAAGATATATTGCTTGGTGAAAAGAATGGATCCATGTTCATTGTACACTACCAGTTTAGTTATAAATGCATTGACTACCTGAAACACCACCACAAAAACCTGGTAACAGTGATTGCTTCTGAGAAGAGGAAGTGTGGGACTGGGATGAGAAGGGAGACTAACCCTTCATTATAGACCCTTTTGCATTATTTGCATGAAATACATATTTAGGTAAATAAATAATTTTTTAAGGTAGGTAAGCAGACAATTTATAAAAGAAGAAATGGCCATAGTGAATGTGTGAAAAGGTCAATCTCAAAGAAAGGTAAATCAAAGCAGTTAAGAGAAGACCATTCTCAAAGAGAATTTATTATCTCCATACTCTTAGGTAAATAGCTGTCACGACCAAGGTCCCCAAACCTTCACAGCTGCAGAAGAAAAGGGCTCTAGATTTCTCTGGGGTTGTAATGAGGTGCTAAAATACCCACCTTGGTCTCACACGAATCACAGAAGCAAGCCTCCCCGTAATTCCTCTGACCGCATTTGGAGCAGGAAAAGGTCTCCCCTTTCTGCGTGGATGGGGCAGGGGATTTATCTCTACTGCACATTGACTGGGGAACAAAGGAGCATTTATAGGCAGGATCAATATTCTATTCCTCAATCCCCCTCCCAATGCAGAAAGAACAAAATCCCATCAGTACAAGCCCCAGGAATATTAGTAGTTTTTGCCTAAAAGGATAAACTTGTAATAGGTTTCATCAATTAATAAATTAGTTCCAAGAACACTCATTCCTTCACAGAAACTCCATAATATCAGTGTTCCACACACCTTGATATTCCTCAGTGTCCTTAATACCAAAGTTAGCAAGTCTCAAAAAAAAAAAAAAAAA